AGCTTGTGGGCATATCATGAGTACATGTGTGTGTGTTTGTGTGTATGTTGTCATGATCATTAATTGATATAGGAAGACCAAGCTCTTTGTAGGTGACACCATTCTCTAGGGTCCTGAACAGTGTAGGAAAGGAGAAAGCTAGCTGACTGTGCATGTCTTAATCTCTCTTGAGATTGAGAGAGATTGTTCTTGATCAGATAAGACTATCTGCAGCAGGTTCATAATGCCATGACTTCTGGAACATGGGACTAGCTGAAGAAACCCCTTCCTTCCTCTGCTGCTTTTGTCAAGGGTGTTTGTCACAAGAATAGAAATGAAACCAGAACACGTGACCTGTGCTCTCCCCATGCCCAGACCACTTTTATACTGGACACCCTGCCTCTTCCTCGCCTCTCATTTGCTCTTTTTTCACACCCCAAGTTCTCATTTCTGACTAGATTACAAGTTCCTTGAGGTCTCTGGGCAAGTCTTATCTTCCTTTATTCTGTGTCCCACCTCGCACAGCTATCTACAGAGACTGACACAAAATGTAAAAGCTCTCTTCATTGCAGATGATCAATCATCCTGAGAATCTTTCCAAAGGCGCAGGCGAGTGCCAAGAACACATTTGCTGAAAACATGTGCTCAGTTCTGAATTGAATCTGCCTAAATGGTGCCATCTGTTCTCAGCAATTTCAGAAACATTCAAGCAGTTTTTTACCTTTAAAGGGACAAGGGAATGGACATGCCCACGAGGCACAGAGACGGAGCAGACATGGGCACATCCGATGACACAGTCCCACAGAAAGAGCGTTGTCTGAGGTCTGAGGACACCAACAGCTACGTCATGTAGAAAATATTTATGAGACATTACAGAACTCAAGGCATGGATTCCTGCAACATAATTCTGTGCTTAATTGCAGGCTCCAGAAATGCACTTGTGTGAGAGTCTCTTGTTCCTTTGAAATGGGCACATGCTTCCAGTGCTCGCGACAGCGTCAGCTTGGAAGGCGGGAGCAGCTGCTGGGATCCCTGTGTGATTTCTGTCACATCACCTGTTAATTGACTTCTGCTTCAGTCCATAGAACTTACTGTCACATGAACAAAACAATGAAGTGAAACCTGTGTTTAAGTTCTGCAAATAACTTCCAGCCACTTCCAGATCACCTCAAGGCAGGCTCTATATTTGAGTTTGTGGTTTTTACATGCACAGCTATTTTCTGACCCACTTCAGCAGGAGAGAGAGAGGGAAAGAGAGAGTTCACAAGCTGGCGAGGTTTGGGTCTAACTATTGTGGAAACAAGTGATGGGCCAGATTTCCAGCCTATTTAAGTGGCTCGCTGCGTTGTAAGCTCCAAACTGCCGCCAGCATGTTGTCATCTGTGTACTTTGCTAGTCCGTGTAAATCAACCGCGGTGTGTATCAAGAATTTATATCGACAGAAAGAATTTCTGATTTAAAACACATCAACGTATGTTCCTCCGTCTGTGCGCGCATGTATCTGCACTGAAACGCCTTGGTTAAGATCTCTGTGGCTCTGAGTTCATTCTCATGAATATTTGTCTGGAATGTTCTGCCGACTCGGGCTTTCTGCATCACATTACTTCCCTTCTTAGGGAAAACATGAAGTACAGAGAATGGCAGGGCCAGTTCCTGATGTTTGCGCTGTTTGGAAGTGGTAATCCCGCCCCTGAGAGAGCACCTGTGTCCTCTGAAACCTCCCGCCAGGGCTCCACTGATTGCATCTCTCCCACCCTGCTTGACTTCTGAGCTCCCTGGTTGTGACCCTTTAAACTCTTAGAGCATTCAAGGGCGTTTTTAGCCAGAGTTTACAACTCTGCCACTTTCCTGCCACAGACACTATGAAAGGCTGAGGACCACAGTCAGGTTTGCATACTGGCGCCCCTACTCTGGGGACCAATCTTCTACCTTAGTTTCTTCTCCCTTTCCTGGGATAAAATACTCCATGAAAGCATGTCAGGGGAGAAACAGGTTACTGTAGCTCACAGTTCTAGGCAGAAGAATCATGACCAGCTGCTCAAGGCAGCTCCATACAGGAGTGGGGGTGAATGCATGCTTGTCAATGCCCAACTATCCAATAAGGCGCAGGATCCCCCGCCCAGGAAATGATCCCACCCACAGCTGACTTGGCTTCCCACATTTATTAACATCATCACAATGCTTCCTCACAGCCATGTCCAGGTGGTTCTGTTCATTCAAGTTGACACTAGATACTAGCGCAAGTGTACTGCAGGTAAAGCTTGAGTCCACCCTTGTAGAAGGCCACCACCGTCATCACTGCTCTGTAGCGTCCTGACTCGTGATTTCCTGTTTTAACGGTGTAGGTTAGAGATGCATAAGTAGTTAGGAATGCCAGTAGCACGGTGAGCTAAACTTCATCCCAGCATTCATGTCCTTCTTGACTTTTTATTTTCCTCCACCTCCCATTTTATCAACATGTCACCATTTATGATCATGTTTCTGCAGGCTTGTCCTGGTCTGTTGTCTCCTCTGTCCCAGATGCCCACTTAGGCTATACGTGGGCACCTGTTTCCTGTTATCTCGAGACACTGCGGCTCCTGTAACCTTCTCATGACCTCTCTCAAGGAAATCGTGTTTTGTCACTGTGTCGTGGGGATTTTGCATTTGCAGTACTACAACACATTGATAAATTTCTTTTTAAAATACTCTTAATTTATATTCCCATCAGCAGTTTGTGAAAATTTCCATATCCTTATGTCTCCACCAGCACTTATTTCCTTAACCTTCATTCTTGTATTGCTGCAACCTGATGGGCACGTACTCATTTGTCTTTATAGTTCTAAGGCCTCCAGTCATTGTTCATAACTTCCAGCAGGTTTTCTAATGCCTGTCAAGTATTTTTCTGATTTCTCTGAGTTGTCTAGTCATCTCCCTTTGTCATTCTTCCAAGTGTTTTTACTCGTTGATATTTTAAAGTAACAAGGACCACTTTGGAAGGATTATAATATGCTCGTGTATATTTCTTGTCAAAGTTGTGTTGTTTGTTACATATAAGCATTTAGTCCATTCTGGTATTTATTTGTTGGCACAGTGTGAAAAGTTATCCTTAGTTTATTTTGGTGTGTGTTTGAATGTGTATACATAAGCATGTGAGTGTGTATGTGTGTATGTGTGTATGTATGTATGTATGTATGTATGTATATGTGCTGGTGTGCCCACCTGTGTGTGCATATGTGTATGTATATGTGCATTCATATGCAGGTTGCTTACCTGTGTGCCCATGTATGTATATATATGTGCATTCATTTGCAGGTGTGCTTACCTGTGTGTGCATATGTGTATGTATACGTGCATTCATATGCAGGTGTGCTTACCTGTGTGTGCATGTGTGGGAACCAGAGGTCACCATCAGGTGCCTTCCTCTATCATTATTCTTATATAATAATTTCTTACAATTATATTATCTTTGTTGCCCTTCTGAATAATTATGTTTCCTGTTAAATTCTTGTTAGGCTATTGAACTTAATTGATTTCACAATTTGATCTTGCAAACCCAGTATTTTTTTTTAATTTTTTCCTCTTTGTGTGTATGTGTGTGTGTATGGTACATGTGTGTATATGTGTGAGTGCACACTGATCTATGAGTGGGAACAAAGGATCAGAGCACTGCCACAGGCTTTGACACTTGTTTTCTATTTTGTCTTAGACAGGGTCTGTTCTTTAACCCCACTGCACACCCCGGGCCAGCTGGCTCACTCCCCTACTCCCCCCACCTCCACACTGCTCACTCAAGCCCAGCTGGCTTCCTTTCCCCCCACTGCACACCCCAGGCCAGCTGGCTCACTCCCCCCACTGCACACCCCAGGCCAGCTGGCTCACTTCCCCCACTGCTCACCCCAGGACAGCTGGCTTAAAATCTTCTACTACCCTCTTCTCCCCACCTCCCGTCCAGCCTTAGGAGCGATGGGATGACAGATGTGCTCTACCACACATGGATTTCTGTGGGTTCTGGGGATTCCAACCCAAGTCCTCATGCTGTGCCCTCACTGAACTAGTTCTGCAACACAGTTTTTTGGTTCTTATCAATTTGGTTGTAGATGCTCTTGAATTTTCTAGATAAATCTCCCTCATTTCCATGTGTAATGAAATTCTTGATCCCTTTTTTCCTGTGCTTGTGCCTTCTGTTTATTTCTGGATTATTACATTGGCTGAGTTTTCTAGCTGTGATGAATGTAGCAGCGATAGTGAGTCTTTCTGCTGTGGACTGGGTCTGCAGCTGAGGTAGTGATGTGTCCCAGAACACACATTCCTACCCATTTTCCATGATGCTATCATTAAGCATTTCACTGTGGTTGGGTTAAAGTATGGATTGCAGCTGGATAAAGGGGTGATGTTCTCATCTGGGTCAGAAGACAGCCTCTCTCTCTCTCTACATGTGTCTTTTTTCATGTCTGTCTGGCTCTCTGTGGGGGGCATGGCTATGGGTGGGTGTTGTTCTGTGCATGTGCATTTGGTGCCCAGAGGTTGACTGGGCGTCTTGCTTAATCCTCTCCCCTATCTTTTGAGACAATGTCTCTCACTAGTGGGTTAGACTCTTTGACCAGTGAACTCCTGGAAATTGACCTGTCTCTGCTTCACCCCACTCTGGGCTAGGGTATCGAAACACATGGGTTCTGAGAATTCAAGCTCTGGTCTTATGTTCACACTATAGGTCTTTACCAACTGAGCCACCTCCCTATCCCCCAAAGACTCCATATTTATCCCAGTAGGATGCTTTTGTCACCTTCTGAATAACCCATCCACCTTTGTTACCAGTCACCTAGCAAGTAACACCACACTGAGGAGCACAGACACTGAGGGGTTCACCCAGCCATCCGGTAGGTAACACCATGCTGAAGAGAACAGACGTTGAAGAGTTCATTCATGAGTGTTAGCTTCATGGGCAATGCCATGCTATTAGAAATAAAATCTAAAAGTCTTTTGATACTCTCTGAATTTCTCAAGTCAAATTATTATACATTTTGCTTTTTTTTTTTTAGACTCCTATGAACCAAGCTTCAACCCGATCACACTGTATTTTCACTGTTCACTTGACCAGCAAGGAGCCGGGATCTGCCACTCTCCGGCGCGCGAAGCTCCATTTGGTTGATCTGGCGGGGTCAGAGCGTGTTGCAAAGACTGGAGTGGGGGGCCTGCTCCTGACAGAGGCCAAGTACATTAACCTGTCGCTGCACTACCTGGAGCAGGTAAAGTGGGTGGAATAAGGTCAGCGGTGGCAATGGCACGTGCTGCGTATGCTCATGGCAGACACTCTAGTCTCTGGCTTGTAATTACGGTGAAATGTGCACAACAGCATTTGTTTGTCTCATAGTTTTAAAAAGATTGTGGAGCTGGAGAGATGGCTCAATGGTTAAGAGCACTGACTCCTCTTCCAGAGGTCCTGAGTTCAATTCCCAGCACCCACATGGTGACTCACAACCATCAGTAATGAGATCTGGTGCCCTCTTCTTACCTGCAGGCACACATGTAGACAAACAGTATATACCTAATAAATAATCTTAAAAAGATTGTGTGTGTGTGCGCGCACGCGCGCACTTACAGAGTCAGAGAGAGGGCATTGGTTGGGTCCACTGAAGCTGGAGTTAATGGTGGTTGTGAACTGCCCAGTGTGGGTGTTTGGAGCTGAACTCTGGTCCTCTGCAGGAGCTGTACATGTTCTGAACAGCTGAGCCATCTCTCCAGTCCCAATGTTTGATCATTTTTTTTTAAGTGACGAGTTCAATGACATGAAGTACATTCCAAAATAATGGGCAACCAGTCATTATCCATTCCTATATTTTTCATAATCCCCACTGGAATCTCTGGACCTTTGGAATATGAACATCCCTTGAATTTTATCTTTGGCCTCTGGTGGCTTGTCCTCTCTGTCTCTTGGACTTTGCCTACTCCAGATCTCGCAGGTGGAATCACTATGTGTGTCCTTGGTAGCTGTCTTGTATAGAAGTGTAATGATTTCATGGCCCCTGTACATGGTGGCATATAACACAATTCCATTCCCTCCTGGGGCTTGAGCACATGCATGCATACCCCTCAATGTGTTTATTTAGTGTTCCATTCAAAGTCAACAGGCCGCATCTGCCCCTCAGCATTGTGGGCAGTATTCCTGTGTACATCCGTGTATGTAGGAGTGCTTTGTAGACACCATTTCATTTAAACCCCACAACAGCCCCCTGCTGGAAGTGGTAACTTCTCCATTTTACTGACTGCAAACACTTATCATCCCAGGGTTACCCACCTAGAAACAGGGTAAAGATTGATCTCAGTTTTCACTGGGCCCAGCGCACAATTGTTTTTGTTACTTTCAAAAGTGATGGAGTGGGGGAGGTGGTACTGTTGCTTTATTATCTATATTATAAAATCATTGTTGGACATGAATCCAGACCACAAGTGGTCTCCTGCTGCCTGTTTTGTTTGTTTGTTTTCCCAGCTCAGAGGTTACCCCTGAGAATGTAACTCAGAGATTACCCCTGAGAATGTAACTCAGAGATGAACAGTATATTGCCAGATTCTGGTCAGTACTTTTTCTGCTGTGGTGAATTTCTTAGCCTTGGCTTGTCTTGAGTCACCCACACTCCCTCCTGACTACCATCCAACCCACTAGCTGCTCTACTTTGTAACTTTGAATCTGACTCCAAGAGCAAAGAAAACTCATCCAAATTTAGCTAAATAAATCTTCGACTCATCTGTAAAATTAATGGATTGGATGGAGGATTTCCTGTGTTCCCTTCTTATTCTTGAATGTTTAGCCTAAAAGATTTGAGGACAACAACAATAAGATGTCTCTTTTCTTTAATGCCTAAGGAAAGCTTTTGAGAGGAATGTCATGCTGCTTCTGAATAGTCACATGGCTGGAGGCCAAGCCAGAGGAGCCCACCTGAATGAGATGATAAGTTAGCTTCACCCCGCCCCCCCAGAACCACAGGAGTGCAGCACCTTAGCTGAGGGCCTGCAGGCATTGGCCATTTCAGTGCTTCTGACAAGAGTCATCAGTTAGTTCTAAGCTTTTTCTTGCTCACATATTCCGTACCACTTACACTGATGGAGCTTCTCGCTTAATAGGACATTTACTGGAACAATGATATATGCCCATAATGGGCTGTATTCAAATTGCCTTATTTCGAAGAAATGTGTCTGTGTTCAGATGGTGGCATGGTTTTAATTCCCATTGTGTACATCTGTTCATACAAAATTACATTCTTCAGCTGAATCAAACTTTCTACCAATTGTAATCACTCAGGAGAAACATTCTGCCCCACATCCACTTCCTCCCTTCTTTCCACACAGTCTCCTCCAATTCCTGACTGTTACTAGAATTATTCTACTCCTCACACCTCTTTGCTTTACAATCCTTGTGAACATGCATAATGCCTATGTTGCCCTTGTTTTTTCATCAATTACTTATCTAGTAAATATTGATGATGATCTTATCAATTATTGATGATCAACTTGACACAGTAGGAATCACCTGGGAAGAAGTGCTCAATGAAGGATTGTTTGTATTGGGTTGTCCCATGAACAGGTCTGTTGGGGATTGTCTCAATTATGTTCATTGATATGGGATGACCTAGCCCATTGTGAGTGGCACCATTCCCTAGGCAAGGCGTCTTGGACGGTCGTGGACTGTATGAGAGTGGAGAAATCAAGCTGAGCACAAGCAAGCAAACATGCGCTCATGCGTTTCTCTCTGCTCTTGACTTTGGACGTTAAGCAAGCGAGCATGCGATTATCCATTTGTCTCTGCTCTTGACTTTGAATGTTACAGAAGCGAGCATGCATGCATCCATTTCTCTCTGCTCTTGGGTATGGATGTTAAGCAAGCAAGCATGTGTTCATGCATTTCCCCTGCTCTTGACGGTGGATGTTAAATTGACTTTTCTTCCTTGACTTCCCCGATGACAGACTGAAATCTGGAATTACAAACTAAAGTACGCCTTTCTATCCTCCAGGTTTCTTTGGTTCTGGATATTTTGTCACAGCATCTGAAATGGGAGTAGGACAGATCTATAGTGTGCTGAGGGTCCTAGAGACAGCCCTACCCCAAAGGCTACCGCTCTGAAGCAGGGGTCCTCAGAAGAACATAGCTGCATCTCAGGCGGGAGCTCTGATAAGCAAGGAATAGGGTGAGGAAGCCAGAAGTTAATGAGGCCTCTGAAATGGAAAATGAGTGGGCAGGAGCAGGCAAGGGTGGAGTAGAACAGGTCAGGTCCTTGGAGCCATGAGCACATCAGCAACTGTTCCAGCACAGAGGACCCTTCTCTGTTCACTACAGGCTAAATGTCATTCATGTGTCATTGGCCCTCAGCAGGTCTGTTTCCTTTCCACCCACCACATCAGGACAGCTGTTAGCTATTTTCTCTTAGACCCAAGTGCCTTCACAGGCAAGGAGGAGGCTTGGCATAAGGTCGCTGGCAGGAGAGGGAAGGAAAACAGGCTATGGGAGGCTGCAGACATGGCCATGGATCTTAGGGTTTAGTAAGGCAGGGAGAAGCTGCTGGTGAGTGGGTGGGAGAGCAGAAGAGAATTATATTCAGAAAGAAAGAGAGAGCTAGAACACTGCCAACAATGAAAAGAGATAGCAGATACTTAATGAAATTGCATAACTCATGGGCCTTTATGGCCACATTATCTCTAAGTATATTTTATTATGTGGCTAAAGAGACTGGGAGTGTAGAACAACTTCGTGTAACTAGCTCATCTATCCACTCAGCAGATAGCGGCCGGGTCTCCACTGGAAGCTGTGGGTTCCGTTGGGCAGGGGGTAGAAGAGAACAAGCTATACATCATGGAGCCAACCAAGCAGCAAAGCTTAGGAACCTGCCCTGTTGCTTTCTGTTTCTGTGGCAAGCGCCATGATCAAAAGCAACTCAGGGGTTGGAAGGGTTTGTTTCAGCTTCCAGGTTACAGCTCATCGTTGAGGAGGGAACTCAAGCAGGAACTTGAAGCAGAAATCCCAAAGGAACTCTGCTTGCTGGGTCACTCACAGACTCAGACTGAGCTGGCTTTCTGACACAGCCCAGGAACACCTGGCCAGTGGTGCTGCCCACAGTGGGCGGGGCCCTCCTACATCAATTAGCAGTCAAGACAGTTCCCCCTCCCCAGTCTGACCCGGGCATACCCTGAATGGAGCCTCACTCCTCAGCTGACTCCAGCTGTGTGAGGTTGACAGCTAAAACTGACTAGGACAGAACTAATGCCTACCTGTAGTCAGATAAATGCCATAAGGGACTCCATCGGTGGTGAGAATTAATCCCAGCCTTTCTCTATCCCTTTCAGTGTAAAAGATGGGTGGATGCTAGATTACCTCGATGTAAAGGGAGGAGCTGGGCCTTGCCTCAGCTTGATGTGCCCTGCTTTGTGGGAACCCATGGGAGGCCTGCCCCTTTCTGGGTGGAGATGGAGGAGGAGTGGGTGGGGAGGGGGCAGGTAGGAAAGGGGAGGGGATGGCAGGAGAGGAGGGAGAGGAAACTGCTTGGTATGTAACATAAATGAAAAATATTATTTTAATACAAAAAGACGGGTGAAAGAGTGGCCAGTGTGCTCAGCTGCTTTGCATTAATGAACTTACACTGGTTTAGAAATTTCTCTCAGAATTCTGGTCCTGCTGGTCACAGCTGAGAGACCCCACACCTGCTAGAACTCGGCCAGCCAGAGTTTACTGACTCTACATTTTTAAGTGATTAATATTCAGTCTGCCAGAATGTTGTTGGTTTTGGAGTTCTCTTTATGTATGCAACACTTTTTCCAAAGAGTTTCCTCAAAAACACTTTAAGCCACAATAACAGGGTACCTCTCAGCCCCAGAGCCCAAGTTCGCATGAGGAGAAGGAAAGAGGGCTTATGTACTTGAGCAAGCTGTAAACCTCACCAAGTGTCCTGGGGGTGACCTGAGGTCCCCATCAGCCCAAACAGCAAGTGAGAAACTGCTGGGAACCAGTGTTTACTCCCCACCCCTTCAGAAATCAAATGGGGTTTCTGTCAATCATCAGCCAATCCCACAGCACACATGGCTCCAGCCAAGTGAGTTTAGGTCACACTGTGCTGAGGAGTGAAGGTGCTGGGCCAGTGCCAGTCATAACTGCTCCCAATCTTGGTTGGTTTCAGACGATTCTTTTCTGTGCTCTTCTGAGCTGTTTAAAAGAAAATCCCCTTAGAGACTGTACAGACAGCTCAGTGGTTTGGAGTGCGTGCTGCTCTTACAGGACAAAGCTCAGTTTCCAGCTGACAACAGCCTGTAAATACAGCTCCCAGGTGTCTGGTGCCTGCTTCTGACTTCCATGGGCACCTACATGGACTCACACATGTGTATACACACACACACACACGTATGTGTGCACGTGCACACACACTCACACAAATACACATAAATAAATAAAATAAAATCTTTTAAAATAAGAAAACTCTTGATCCATCAAGTAGCTGAATTACTGTTTTAGATTTTTCTTTTTTATCATTTTTATTGAGCTATGTGTTTTTCTCCATTCCCCTCCCTTCCTCTCCACTTCCCTTGGTCCCCATGCTCCCAATTTAATCAGGAGATCTTGTCTTTTTCTACTTCCCGTGTAAAGTAGATCCATGTATGTCTCTCTCAGGGTCCTCTTTGCTGTCTAGGTTCTCTGGGATTGTGAATTGTAGGCTGGTTTTTCTTTGCTTTGTGTCTAAAAGCCACTTATGAGTGAGTACATATGATATTTGTCTTTCTGGGTCTGGGTTACCTCACTCAATATGAAGTTTTCTAGCTCCATCCATTTGCCCACAAATTTCAAAGTGTCATTATTTTCTTCTGCTTTGTAATACTTCATTGTGTAAATGTACCACATTTTCCTTATCCATTCTTTGGTAGAGGAACATTTAGGTTGTTTCCAGTTTCTGGCTATGAAAAACAATTCTGCTATGAACATAGTTCAGCACATGTCCTTGTGGTACAATGGAGCATTCTTTGGGTATATACCCAAAAGTGGTATTGCTGGGTCCTGAGGTAGGTTGTTTCCTAATTTTCTGAGAAATCACCATATTGATATCCAAAGGGGCTGTACCAGCATGCACTCCCACCAGCAATGCAGGAGTGTTCCCTTTACCCCACATCCTCTCCAGCATAAGTTGTCATCAGTGTTTTTGATCTTGGCCATTCTTATAGGTGTAAGATGGAATCTCAGAGTTGTTTTGATTTGCATTTCTCTGATGACTGTAGAAGGAGGTGCGGGCAGGCCTGCTTTTTGTCCCACCTGGCTCCCGCATGACTAGCTTTACACCCAAAATAACAACACACAAATTGTATTCATTTAAACACTGCCTGGCCCATTAGCTCTGGCCTCTTACTGGCTAACTCTCACATCTTGATTAACCCATTTCTGTTAATGTGTATCACCACTTGACTGTGGCTTACCAGCATGAGTCTAATCATCCTCCGTCTTGGAGAGGAGAGTCATGGCGTCTACCTGACTCTGCTTTCTTCCTCCCAGAATTCTGTTCTGTCTTCCTCACCTACCTATGTTCTGACCTATCAGGCCAAGCAGTTTTCTTTATTAATTAACCAATGAAAGCAACAGATAGATAGAAGACCCTCCTACATCAGATGACTAACGATGTTGAGTATTTTCTTAAATGTCTTTCATCCATTTTAGATTTCTTTGTTGAGAGTTCTTTGTTTAGGTCTGTACCCCATTTTTTAAATTGGATTATTTGTTCTTTTGATGACCAATTTTTTGAGCTCTTTGTATATTTTAGAGATCAGACCTCTGTCTGATATTTGGTTGGTGAAGATCTTTTCCCATTCTGTAGGTTGACATTTTATCTTGTTGACCATGTCCTTTGCTTTACAGAAGCTTTTCAGTTTTAGGAGGTCCTGTTTATTAATTGTTTATTTCAGTGTCTGTGATACTGGGGTTAAATTGAGAAAGTGGTCTCCTGTGCCAATGTGTTCAAGTGTACTTTCCACTTTCTCTTCTATGAGGTTCTGTGTTGGTTTTATGTTGAAGTCTTTGATCCATGTGAACTTGAGTTTTGTGCATGGTGATAGATATGGACCTATTTTCATTCATCTATGAGTTCATAACCAAGTATGCCAACACCATTTGTTGAATATGCTTTTTCCCCCATTTTATATTTTTTGTTTCTCTGTTAAAATTCAGGTGTTTGTAGGTGTGTGGATTGATATCTGGGTCTTCCATTCTGTTCTATTGGTCCTCCTGTTTATTGTACAGGATTGTTTTTGGCTATCCTTTTTTTGTGTGTGTGTGTGTTTCCATATGAAGTTGAGTATTGTTCTTTTGAGGTCTGTGGAGAATTTTGCTAGGATTTTGATGGGCATTGCATTCATTGAATCTGTAGATTACTTTTGGTAAGATTGCCGTTTTTACTATGTTAATTCTACCTACCTAAGAGATGGGAGATCTTTTCATTTTCTGGTGTCTTCTTCAATTTCTTTCTTCAAAGATTTAAAGTTCTTGTCATGCAAGTCTTCTACTTATTTTGTTAGAGTTACTCTAAGATATTTTATGTTATTTGTGACTTGGGCTTGGGCCTGCTCCTGCAGAGGTTGCTGGCTTGGACCTGCTCTACTCAAGACCTTCTGTGGAGCTCACTGCCTCGGGGAGCTGAATTATTGATAGCAGCACAGTTTCTAGGTCGTGAAGGAATTTCTAGGTGTGGTGTGAGGTTCCATTCTTTGTTCCTAATACAATGCTGTAAGAAATGTTTTGCTATTGTATTTATATGTGAAGTTCAGAATAGGAGAAAACATTACCAAACAAACACACAACAACAACAACAACAAACCCAAGGTGACTGAAAGGTTGCTCAGTAGTCAGGGACACACCTGCTCTTCTGAGGACCAGAGTTCTGTTCCCAGCAAACATGTCAGGGAGGTCACAACCTCTCTAACTCTGTGTGCAGGTCTAATGCCTCTGGTCGCCATGGGCACCTGCACTCCCATACATATAAAAAAAAATCAACACACACACATACACACACACACGAGCCATACACACAGAACCCACATACACACACCACATACACACATAGGATTAAAAGCTTAAACAAATTATTCTGAACTGAGGCAAGAGCTCAGTCAGTAAATGCTGCTGCAAAATCTGGGTTTAATCCCCATAATCTATGTATAAGGGGGGGGGGTGATGTAGTGAGAAATTGCAATCGCTGTGTTTGGAAGGTGAAAACAGATGAATCCCCGTGGCTCAATAGCTACCAAGGGTAGCCTACTTAGTGAGTTCCAGGACAATGACAGACCCTGTCTCAAAAATATAAAAATATAAAAGGAGGTGAACAGACACCTTAAGAAATGACATCCTAGAGGTTATCCTGTGGCGTGTGTGTGTGCACAGACACACACACAACACACAGACACACACACACAACACAGACACAAACACGCACACTAGCCCTATGACTCTCCATACTCCTTTCACTGCAGAGCCCATTGTAACCCCACAAGAAGCAACCCCCCTCTGCTTGCCCACAATATTCCTTCTCTGGGCTCCTCTTCAGAGCCACTCCATGTGGTCTGGACTCACAGTGGTGCTCCAAGAGACCAGCTCGGTTCCTCTTTCAAGGAAATGGGTCAGACCTACACAAAAATCAGACTCTCCTGAAGACTCCTACAGCACTGTGTGCCCCTTGTTTAATACTTACCCTAGAAGTTCACATCTGATCTTTGTGTGTGCGCACGTGTGATGCAAATGTGAGATGTGTTTGCATGAATTGTCCACATGTGGAACCAGAGTAAGATAATGGGTGTCTTCATCTCTTTGATGCCGTGAGATGGGCTATCTCACTGCTACCAGGAGACAGGGTATCTCACTACAACAGAAGCTCACCATTTGGTTGAGCTATGCTGGCTGGCACGTGAGCTGGGACCCAGCTGTCTCTATGTTCACCAGTGTTGGGGTCACAGGCATGCACAGCCACAGCAAGTTGTTCACATGTTCTGGGATTTGAATTCATGTCCTCATGCTTGCACAGCAAGCGTTCCTTCACACATAGCCACCTCTTCAGCCCCTCTCTCCGGATCTTTACAACATTCCTCCAAGAGAGCCAGACTTTCTAGTTCCTTCTTTACAGAAACGGGAAGCTAATGTACTTTTGAGGTTTTCCAAAATCATACAAGTGGTAAAGCTGGATTCTGCCTCCAAATCCTGGCTGCTTTCTTCTATCACACATAGCCTCGTTTCCTCCATTTTAATGACCACAGTCCCACTTCGATGTTTAAATATTTCCTCTAGCAGTTTTAGGTCCCTTCATGGAGAGGATGTGGGAATGTCCATCCCAGTGCGGAGCACCTGAAGCCCATCCCAGCTCCAGGGATTAGATCCTTATTGGTCAAAGCAAACTGGAGCCTTCCTTTGGATGCAGTTGTCAACCTGTGGGTCTTCTAGGGACCAAGATGCTCCCTAGGAAAGCTCAGGATAAAGGATGTCTGTTCTCATGTAACTTATTAATCTAGAAGTATATAACACCAGGGTGTTTGGCAGCCATCCTGTGGCTATAAGGTGGCTACAGTAGAGATAGGAACGTAAACCCATTAACCTCTTGGGTTATTTGTAGCCTAAAGTTTTTCTATTTCCAACCCTCCTGACTGAGACCAGGGTGACTTAGATTTCCTGTAACTTGCCACCAAAAGTGAGTTCACTAATATTCAATTAATATCACCAGGAAGGTTTATTAGCGTATGCTTCGTGTTACCCACATACATCAGTGTGCTCTAGAACAGTAATAATATTGAGGTATCTTATGAAAAAGGTTCAAAGTGGGGAGGACAGTAAGTGCTTAAGTGATCATTCAAAGGCAGCCATGCTGCTCCCTCTTCCTGCTGGTGCCAGGGGAGGGGGGGTGGAGTCCCTGGAGCAGGAGTCACAGGCAACTGTGAGCCATTCAGTGTGGGTTCAAGGAATCAAACTCAGGTTCTCTGGAAGAGAAGCAAGTGCTCTTAACCACTGAGCCACTTCTCCAGCCCCATTTTTGTCATTTTCACATTGAAAGCTCTTGTTAATATGACTGTTCTGTGCCGAAGTCTTGGGTGTAACCTGTGTTTAATTATTATTTCCTTTGCATTCTGATTATTGAAACTCATCGCCAGGTGTGCCTCTCCTGCCTGGCTAATGCCACCATCTGCCCACCTTCCCACAGGTCATCATTGCCCTTTCTGAAAAGCGCCGCACACACATCCCTTACAGGAACTCCGTGATGACCAGCGTGCTCAGAGACAGCCTGGGAGGGAACTGCGTGACCACTATGATCGCCACTCTCTCACTAGAGAAGAGGAACATTGATGTACGTGGTCCCTCTCCCTGGAACTCTTAGTCTGGGTTTCTGTCACTGGGTGGTGAGGTGGAGTTCAGGGACTTGGGGGAGTCTACGTCTCTTGAGAAGTGCTTATGGACGGACATCCTCAGAGGTAAGCATACACGGCACTCGTGGCTTTGGGTTCTTGGCCAGTGTTGTAATTAACCCACAGGAGAACTAGTCTCAGATGAATGGCTTGGAGAAGCCATGCTTGCCGATCTCAGAAGGCCCGATGATAGGAATGAGGGACGGAGATCTTCCCCTGCTCTTGCTCCGTGGGTATTGTGGGTATCTTAGAGCCATCCTGAGATCTGGACTCTCTCAGATGGTGGCACCAGGATGCCTAGCCAGGGGATGTGCAGAAGGGCTTCCCTGGGTGGTTATGGAGCCAGCTGGGGTCTTGCAAGAGTCAGATTAACATTTTGGATGTAGACACTCCCCCAAAGAGGAAAGGAAGGCCAAAAAGTGCATCCCAGACAGCGCCAAGACATTCGCTTTGAGCGCTACGGAAGCCGCTCATTTGGTTGACTACAGACATTTATGCTGTGGTCATACGTGTTTGTGGATCACAGTACCTGCTGTAGTTATGACTTTATGTGACATTCTGGCTTAACAGAGTCAAATACATCACAGCTACCTCCTGGGGCCCCAGGATTGCCTATATTTTTTGCATTTAGCAGTTTTACCAAGCAAACCTATTTAAAAAAAATAGAAAACAGTATAAAACAGTATCCTAGGGCCAAACCCCCTCATTTTGAAGCATGTCATTTATGTTTTTCCAGACATCGTACTCTTTAGGTATCTTTTGCTGTTAATGAAAATTAAGTTTTAGCTGGAGAGAAATGCCTTTCTATGCCATCATGTGTTAAGAAGCTATTTCATGGTTTTCCTTAGGAGTCCATCTCTACCTGCAGATTCGCTCAGCGAGTGGCCCTCATCAAAAATGAAGCTGTCCTCAATGAAGAAATTGACCCCAAACTGGTAAGCTAATGTCTGACTTCGGAGACAGGGACTTATCACTCAGGCTGGCCTTAAGCTTCATTTGCAGGTGAAGACAGCCTTGAATTCGTGGCCCTCCTGCTGTGTGAGCACGTGACAGGCATGCACCAGCACTTCTGGAGTTCGTGGTGCTGAGATCCCATGGGGTGTCGTGCTTGCTGCACAAGTGCCCTGTGCACTGAGCTACATCCCCACTCCCAGTGAGAAACTTACATTTTTAATTAGGCTCAAAGAAATATATATACTTAACATACACGTGCACGATTAGCTGAACCTTGTTGTGGGGCAGTGGCTCTGTACTATGCAGTGCTCTAAGAACCTGTATGCATTCACGGATGGAATTCTCAGCAACCATGTGATGAGCTGTTCGGCTGTCTCCATGGAAAGAAAAATTGAAACACAAGGGCATGAAATAAGCTACTGATTGTCTTAGTAAGAGTGGGTATCATAGCCCAGTGGTCAAGCTTAAGAAATCTGCTTCATGACAGAGCATGGCCCATCCTGTGGACATACCCAACAGGCAGACATGCAGTGACTCAGTGGGACAATACTTACCCAGCCCTGGGTTTGATCCCCAGAACTACAATGGAAAAAATACAATTATATTTATAGTTGGGTCTTAGCCTTTCACAAAAACCTAGTTTTCCTTTTTAGACAGAGTACCAGGCCGTTGTTCACATATCTCATAGAGAGAGTTATTAAGTAGAAATATTTTGTCCAAGCATCCTGTTATGTATTCTAGAGTTTCTTAAAGGCTAGCAATAGTTTGATTAATTAGTTTCATAAAAATAACTCCTGTTTTATCAAAGCAGCTTTTATGCAAGGAAATCATAGATACATAATTCAATTCCCCACTTTGAATATATTTTTCCTTTGTGTTTTGTGGGTTCTCTGCAAAGGAAAAGCAGCATTAGGTCAGCTCAGGCCACTGTCGTGGTCTGAATTCCTGCTCCATCACCTACCTCTCCCCACCTCAAGGACAGAGGGAGAGGAAGGAAAATGAATAATGGGGCTATCGGTCTTGCCCTGCCAGCCACAGAGAGCCTCGCTTTCCCTGATGGAGAAATCAGTGGTTGAATCAGGAGCTTCCTTATGCCCACCTTGGTCAGACCCCAGCATCAGAGTCCTAGGGAAAGGAACAGAATACAAAAGCAGAGTCAAAAGAAAATGCACCCCTAGGGGATGTATTCTGCTGTCCCTGCCCCTCCTACACCCAAGAGCATTGTTGTGCAGAATGAGAAAGGTTATATTATCTGGATGACAAAAATTCGTTCACAATTTATGGAGAACAAGAATATAAAACATTGGAAGTATTTCTTTATTTTTCTTTAAATTTTGCCAGAGAGACTTTTCTTTGAAGACTCTGAAGGGAGAGGACATCCGCGTTTGTTTGATCTAGTTCTTTGACAGATTTAAAGTAAAGAGAAATTGGGAGCAAAAAGCTAATAGCTGATAATTGAAGTGATTGCCGTGGTTCTTCCTAGTGCTGACTGACGTCGTGACTGCCAAGCGTGGCTTGCTACTCTCTGTATTAATGGCACCTTAAACCACACACTGTTGCTTACTATTTTAGTGTGAACCTTGTCTGTAATACAAGTGACAATCAAGACTTTGTCCTAGGGGGCAGGATGGGTGGCTCAGCAGGTAAGAGAACGCACTGATGTTGCAGAAGACCCAAGTTCAGTTCATAGCCCTCATGTCAGGTGACTTGCAGCTCCAGAAGCTGATGCTCCAGGCATTCTCACGTGCCTGCAACTCATATGCACATGCCCCTCCATTACACATAATTTCTAAAATAATACAATTAATCTGTTTTAAGGAAGTGTTAAAAGAAACCACTTAAGATACAACTTGTTTGGGATTTCCTGTGTCTTACTCTTAGATTTTAATGGCAAATATGGTGTCACCCTGAGTGATCAGAATCACCAAGCACCAGTACTTCAAAGCGACATGGTAATGGCAGGAACATGAGCTGGACAGATTCCAGAATGAGTGGACATGGGCCAGGATCTCCCCAGATGCCTCTAAGTACACAGGAAATCTGTAGGACGCATGTCCATAGTAATAGTAGTTTGGGTTTATAAATCTTTAGAAAGTCTAGAGCCGGGGGATGACACAATTGATGAAGTGCTCACTCTGCAAGCCTGAAGTCCTGACTGACCCGCAGAACCCACCTCAGAAAGCTGGTGTGATCACACACTTGTAATCCTAGTGCTGGGGAGGCAGAGGGGGGGATGATTCCTCGGGCATGTGCACCCACACACATCCACAGTCACAAGGACATGAAGACTAAAGCATCAGTGTCAGAGCAGGAGAGGGGAAAGTGAACGACCCTTGTCCAGAGGGCGCTGTTCTGTGTGGCTCAGCTGTTTCTCACTGTTTCTTTTTTTTTTTCTATTTAATTTTTTCTTTTATTAATCTTATTGAGCTATACATTTTTCTCTGCTTCCCTTTCTTCCTCTCCCTTCCCCTTCTACCACCTCCCATGGTCCTCGTGCTCTCAATCCACTAAGGAGATCTTGTCTTTTTCTACTTCCCATGTAGATTAGATTATTCTATGTCTCTCTTTGAGTCTTCATTGTTGTCTAGGTACTCTGGGTTGGGAATTATATGCTGGTTTTCTTTGCTTGAGTCTGAAATCCACTTATGAGTGAGTACATGTGATATTTGTCTTTCTGTGTCTAGGGAGGCCAACAGGTAAAACATGGTGCCCTGCGCATTTGAACAAAGTCCCTGGAGCCTGTGTCCAAAATGCTCTTGTAATTTAGAGGGGTTGTTGGTTCTGTTGATGTGGTCAAGTGTAACAGCGTAAATGAATGCAGATAGATTGTAAAAATATATACAGCTTTAATGGGGAAATAGACTTAGAGAACCACCATTCCAGCAGACACCAGGAAAGCAGAAGGCACGGCTGAGAACTCTCTCTCCCTCCCTCCCTCCCCCCCCTCCCCT